CCGTGGCTGCGACGTGAGTGCCACGAGCCCCAGTGGGCTAGAGCAGGCCTGCGGGGGAGTGTCCACGCTTAAGACCCCAAAGCCCCACCCGGAGGGGAGGGGAGGGGGCTCCAGGGAGACACAGTGTGGAAGACAGGATGGCTCTCAAGGTACCTCAGCTTGTTGGGCAATTTTTAAATAACTGGATGCCTGAAAATTTGACCTTGGCCTCAGGCTTTGGGCCTGGACCTACCAGTTCGCCTCCTCTGGAGGCTGGCAGGGAGGGCGGGGGCGAGGCCAGTGCTCAAGACCAGCATGGGACCTCCCTCCCAGGCGGGACAAGCCCAGAGCTCTCTGGTCGGAATGGAAACACTCGTAGCTTGCTAAAGCAGCATTAAGAGTCCCAAGACACCACAGATTAGCCCCAGGTGGTCACCCCCAGAACCCGCTGGCCTGATCTGATTGAGCGATTTGGGAGGGCTCAGCGCCACTAAGGACAGGGCCATCCACGGGAGGGAAATGTGGGAGAGACTGCTCCCCTGGGCTCAGTCATTCGGGAAGCTTTCCACAGAGAGACGTCAGCCTGACCCCCGCCCCAACACAGCCGGCACACGGGCTCCAAGGACCGCCTGGGCGTTAAACACACAGTGAGACTCCAGCAGCATCGACAGGGGGCTTTTGTTAAAGTGGACAAAGCGGCTGTCAGGTGGAAAGTTAAGTAAAACTGAAGAGAAGTTTCCGCTGTAACCTCTGCACAGCGAGTGGGGACGTGTGCACGCAGCCCCCACGGATGGATGCAGCACCCACGTCCCAGCACAGCTGGTGTCCTACAACCAGCCCAGTCTGACACTGTCTCCCCAGCGCTGGCGTCAGACCCCAGGCCAAGGGCTCAGTCACAAGACCACCCCCGACCCTGCACACACTCCAGACGCCAGTCTGAAGTCAGGCCATGACCTGTGCTTCTGACTGACTGGCTGTAAACCAGGGGTTCCCACAAGCCCCCCAGGGTTCAATTAATTTGCGAGCATGGCTCACAGAACTCAGGGAAACACTGACCACAAGGTCGCAGTTCATCTTAAAGGCTATGGCTCAGGAACAGCCAGCTGGAAGAGACACATAGCGCGAGGAGCGGGGAGGGGGCTCAAGCCCTCGCCCTCCCCAGGGGTCAGGGCTGGGGTCAGGTCCCACCCTCCCTGAGGGAGGCTCGCTCACCTGCAGGTGGACCTGAGGGAGCAGGGGCGGCTGAGGTGCCAGGACGAGTTCCTCGTTTGCTGTGGGAGAAAGAAGCACCTGAGGCGTGTGTTCCTCTTTGAGGACCTCATCTTGTTCAGCAAGACCCAGAGGGCGGACGGAGGCGGGGCCGTGTACCTGTACACGCAGTCCTTCAAGGTAGTGCCAGCAGTGTGTGTTGTTTTCTGTGGTTCTTCCACTGAATTCGGAGAGCCTTGGGCCTCCAGCGGCTGCAAGGGGACATTTGTCCTTCCCTGCTCCGGGTGCACATCCCAAATGTCTCCTCAACCAGTGGCTTCATTTCGGGCTTGGGTGAAGGCAAACAGAACACAGAGGAGGCATGGCCCCCGCCTGTCCCTCTGCTGGGCCCTGGGGGCGAAGTCTCCTGGGAAGGGCCCCACCCCAAAACCTCACCTGCCGAGCTGGTCAGTGGGGTCCTTAGAGGAGGAGCCAGGGAACTTTCCTGGGGAAGGGATGACTGAGGCCCACGAGGGAGCTGTGCGGTCAGGGCAGGAGTGCAGTCATCCAGCCTCGAGCCAACAGCTCGGTTTCTGGGGGACGGGACCTCCAGCACTGAGGTGTGGGGTCAGACATCAGCCAGGAAGCAGTCAGTTGTCCAAAGGGAAGAGTCTGAGGTCCCCTTGGTGCTTGTGGCTGCAGACGGCGGAGATTGGGATGACAGAGAACGTCGGGGACAGCGGCTTGAGGTTTGAGATCTGGTTCCTCAGGCGGCGGAAACCCCAGGACACCTATGTCCTCCAGGCGAGCTCCGCAGAGGTCAAGACCGCCTGGACGGATGTCTTAGGGAGGATCCTGTGGCAGCAGGCGCTGCGGAACAGAGGTGGGGCAGGGCAGAGGGGAGGGCCTCTCTGCATGCAGGTCTGGGTATGGGTCACGGGCAGTCCCAGGGCCCCTCAGTCAGCTCATTCACCAGGTAGTGCCTGGATCCACCCCTCAGCACACAACACTTCCTCTTAGAACAATGAGTAAGACCCCTGCCCCACACGCTAGAGAAGGATCCCACCCAGGCTCCCAGAAGCCCTCAGACCTGCTGAGTTGAGTTTCCTGCCCCACCCTGTTGTCAAGGCCCCCGGTCCCCTGGATGCTGCACTGATGGCCAGCCTGTGGTCTCCCCGCAGGGAAGGCCCCCCACCCCCGTCCTCTCCTCCCCTTGACTTCATCACTGGGGCACCTCTGTCTACCCCCAGGTGCCCGGCTGCTACAAATACCACTGTCATAGCGACCCCTCCAAGCAGGTGCTCCTCGAGGCTTGACCCCAAGGCCTGAGAAACCCTAACACCCTAGCATCCAAACACGACCACCTGGCCCTCAGGGCCTGCCACCCTGGCCAGAGCCTTGACTTGTCACCAGAGATGCCCCACAGCACCCTCAACTGCTGCCTCCTTCAGCACACCAACGTGCACAGACATGCACGTGCTCATACACAAACATACGTACAGACACACGCGCGTGCACACACACACACATGGCTGCTGTACTCAGGGCACCCAGTGGCTCCTCAGCCCCCTAGGACTCAGTCAGCCCTCGTGAGGAGTAGGACGCCTAGTCCCTCCACCCTGCCATCCCCTCTGCTCCTGTCTCTCCTTCAGCCCCCCAACCACAGTTGCCGTCTTGTTTCTCTCTGCTTGGTTTTCCAAGCATGAACTCACGCTCAGACTCTCACCTCCTCTCAGTATCAGGCACGTGGACACTTGTTAGTTTGTCTTTCACGTGGCCACGCCCTGCCTGGGGGCCTCTGTCCCCCTCCAAGATCTCCCTTCATCTGCAGACAGGGACTGTCCCCTCCCTCCCCGGTTGGACACCCAGTTTCTTGGCTCACCCCCCTGGGCTCCCTGAGAAAGGCCGGGCCGGCACTGCAGCAGGCGCAGTGTCCCAGCAACACCCGGGAGCAGGGCGGGGAGCAGAGCGTCGTCAGGGTACAAGTAAACCCAAGGAGTCGCGTGGAAACCTACCCCACACGCTCCTGTCTCAGAACTCAGGGTGCAGGAGACGGTGTCCTTGGGGCTCGGCAGCAAGCCGTTCGTGGACGTCACGCCCAGCCACGCAGCCATAAGCCACCGGGCCATCGATTGTACCACAAAGGGAGCAGGTCAGCAGCCGTCGCCCTCTCACTGCACCCTGTCTACCCCGTGGCCACCACCTCGGGCTGGATGGGTGGCGGCCACAGGGTGCCCGATGTGACCGTGGGGGAAGAAACCTGGTCGGTCTTCCAGGTGGCCATCTTGTTCTTGAATCTAGGCTGCACCTCCAGAGTAGAGGCCAGACTTGTCTTCTGTTCCCATCCAGAGGGACCAACCCCAGCATGCATAGCTGTGCCCTCCTTCAAGAGACCGCACTCCACCATCTCGGACAGCAGCACCTCCTCCTCCAGCAGCCAGTCCTCCTCTGCCCTGGGGCCGCTGCACCTGCAGGCGTCTGCCAGCACAAACCGTGCAAGCCTGCTGAGCCCTGCCTACTGCCCTTGGCCACAGGACATCCACGAGGAGGACGAGCCGGGGCAGGGTTCCGGGAGCCCACCTTCCCTGCGTGAGTGCCCTCGTGCACTGGAGCAGCTCGGGTCGGGTGCCAGCTCACGTGTTCAGTATTTCACCTGATTTTATACACTGCCAAAAGTTTCCAAACAATGTGGAAATTTTCTTTTATTAAAGCAAAAAAAAAGGTCTTCCGCTTCCACTCCAGACAAGGTAACTGGAAAAGATTTATAACAAACAAGCAAAAAAACAAAAACAGACAGAACAAATGCCCTCCAAAGCCCCAAATGTGCCACTGCTACCCATGAAATCATTTCTGAGGGTGTCCCCCACCTACCCCAAAGGCATCTCTGTGCCCGGGGGTGCTGGTGCTGGGCATGAGACCCACTGGGGGAGCCCAGGCGAGCTGCTCCATCGCCTGCCCTGAGCGACCACTCTCCTGGGCGCCTCCTTCATGCTCAGGCTGCAGGTGGCTCCATCTGAACTGCAGGAGGCAGCCTCAGGTCAGGCCTGAGTCTGGATGTGGGGTCTCTCCGGCATGGAGCCCATTTGTAAGACGAGGCAAAGGGTCTGTGCTCGGCCTCCTACCCCCAGCACAGCACGTGGGGAAGCCACCCGACTGCCACTTGCAAGGTTGCTGCTGAGCTCAGGCTGGGGCCCCACTGTGGGGAGCAACCCTGTGGGCCTGGACCCTGCAGCCGAGGCTCCATCTGGGGTGACACGGGACAGGCCCCTGGGAACACGCCTCCCATCCAGTCCTAGTCCCGCTTTCTGTGGAAGCCACGTGGTCCTTCTTGCCTCACTTCTGGCTTTCCTCCCGTGGACTAGCACTTGGTGCCAAGTCTGAGACTTCTGCTGGCGGAGAGCTCGGCCTGAGCACCTCCCTGCCAGCCTTCCCTGGCCTCCTGATTTCCGAAAAGCTGTCAGGACCCTCTTGTCCAAGAGCATCAATGTTGTCTGACCTCTAGTGGTGCCGTCCCTCCTGCTCTGACCGGCTGTGAATCTGCACTGTCTCATCCTCCCTTCACAAGGCTCAGGGTCCGAGTGCCGGCCAGGTGGTGGTGGGGCACCGTGAGGCTGGAGGACAGTCCTCACTGGGCCCCTCTTTGCAGAGACTGAGAGCTTTGAGCCTTCACACTGCACGTCGGGGGACGGCGGCCCTGGCCTCCACCGGCCGTCCCAGCACCCCACAGAGCTGTTCTCTGACGAGGATGCTTGCCTGGCCCTTCCCAGGAGGGGCTCACAGCCGCAGCGCGACGGGGGCCAGTTCATCACCACGGTGAGTACCCTCCTCCAAGCCCCCACATGAGAGGCCAAGGTGCTTTGGGGGGTCAGTGCCTGCCCAAGTGATGCTGGGGTGCCCGTGACCACACAGACCACCCCTCATGGACCACCCTGTTTGTGAATCGGCCCCACACTCCAGCGCCCACTGGCTCTATCCCCAATTCCGAGTTACGTAGAGATTTGCAGGCCTCCTGGGCACCTGGATTCCACCCACCACACAGGCTGCACTCGTGCTGTCCAGCACATGCTGGTTCCAGGCTCAGCCAGGCCCACTCCAAGCCTTGCTCAAGCCCCCACAGTCCTGGGTGAGGGAGGACTTGCAGTTGGCCAAGGAGGTTTGTGAAGCCAGCCCCAGATGGGCCAGGGTCAGGGGCTCACCTCCAGCCCCGCCCTCTGACAGGATCGCATTCTGGGCAAGTCACAGTATCTCCCGTGCTGATGCAGGTGTGGGGGTGTCAGGAGGGCCTGACATCTGCCCCAGCCTGGTGCAGAGAGCACGGGAGACCCCAGACACCCTGGATGCGCACAGAGACCTCAGACCCTGAAAGGGAGAGACTGAGGGGACAACCAGACAGGAAAGCACACATCACCTCTTTCAAAGACCTTTCATCACCCGGGCCCGGCTGCTGGTTCAGTTCTCTGCAAGCACGTTCCCCAGCCCTGTCGTCGGCAGCACCGGGAGAGAAGGTCCAATTCTGAGTGTGTGCTGAGCCACAGTCCAGAGAACAGGTTCCTCACAGTGACTGGTGACCTCCTTGCCCTCTGCCAGAACAAAACCCCTCATGGGCTGCTCCCCAACCCCTGACTCACTTCCCCTGGAGTCTTGCTGCCTAAACACCCTGGAGCTGGCGTAGCCGCGAGGGGCAGCATGGGTGAGTTCTGACAGCTTAGGCATTTCTCCAACAGCAAGGGGTCAGGTCCACAGAGGCCCAGTGAGGGGGCCAGCAGAGCCCACCTCCACCCACCCCAGCCTCCAGGGGTGGCTCCTTGGGCCCTCAGCACCTCTCCCTCTGAAAGTAGGGGTCTCCCTGACACCCATTCACACCTGCCTGCCCCCTACAGCCCCAGTCCACCTGTCCCCACAGCCCCTCCTCCTGCCACAGCCGGCTGCACTGAGGGCCTTCAGCTGCACACATAGGTCCGGAGCTAATCACAGGTCTACCAGTAACTAAAATAGACTGTTTCCCACAAACCACATATAAAGTCGTCTAAGTGCTTCTGTTCACACAATCTGCTGCTTGTGACACGTGGACAGACACACACATGTTCTGGGGTCAGAGCAGCAAACACTGAACTGACACCTTTCAGGGCCAGATCCTTTCCCCTTGAACTAAGATGCCCGGTGATGCTGGCTGGCTGGCTGCTACAGCCCCGCCGCTCACTCCATTGCCCAGACCTGCGAGTGTCAGCCTTGCAGAGAATGCGTCTGGGTCTGGAGCCCTGTCCCGTCCTTGCCTGGCCCCAGCTGCTTCTTCAAAAGGATGCATGTCCCCGAATCTGAGCACGCCTCAGGGAAGGAGGTCAAGGGGCCAGGTGGGAGGAGGGGACATTGGTAACAGTGGTCCTTCTTTTGGCAGCTGTGATGGGTCTGGATGAGAAGCAGCCCCTCCAGGGAGAACCCCTTGCAGAGCAAAGGAACCTCAACCTGGACATGTGCATGAGGTCACAAGGTCTGGGAATGAGACACTAAAGCTGGGGCTCCTGACCACCCCCTTCTGCCAGTCATGGGGCCACCGGTCAGCATGCCCCCTGAGGCCTGGGCATCATGTCATGGGCCTCCCCCATCCTGCGTGCACAGATGCCCCAGGACGCCCTGAATACTCCTAAGCAGCGGGAGGCCAGGGCAGGAGCACAGGGACCCCCACCTCCGGAGCAGAGGCCCAAGGAGGGGGGTGTCTCAGAGCAGGGGGCCTCTGGAATCATGTTTCCCCTGCCCTCTGGGCAGCTCAGACCATGTCGATGGTCCCCAGGTGCAGCCCCTACGAGGTGTGTCCCAGATGCAGGGGCTACTTTCCTGAGTGTAATTGGAATCTCGGTCTTGTTTCCTTTTTAACAAGCCGTGCGTGGCTAGCAGCACTAGAGTTAGGCTCCACCTGTGAGTCTGGGATGAGGCCACACCCTGCATCCCAGGTGGACCCCAAGCTGGGGCCGGGGCACAGCAGCTGGACCTGAATCTCTGATCTAGCCTGTGCTAGGAAGTCCTGTCGGTGTGGGTGGTGCCCCAAGAGGACCCCTCACCACACAGAGGAGAGTCTGGGTAGACACAGCCCTTCAGTGGCTTCCTGCCACAGGTGTACCCCAGATCCCACCCTGGGGCAATGGCGTCGCCCAACGTCAGCCACCCAGCACAGGAGCAGGTGGATGGGCAGCGTCCTCACCTTCAGGATTTGCCGGCTCTGAACCGTTTTCCCTGTCACCAGTCTCGGTGCTGACAGTCTCAGACTTCAGGAACATAAATAAACTGGACATTGTTTTTTCTGCCACGTGGTCATGGTTCTCTTGCTGGGTTCTGTTGTGTTGGGGACGTCACCAGCACGCCTCCCCCAGGGAGCTTGGCCCCTGTGACTTTGAGGGGACAAGGCCCTGGGAGGCCCTTCAGCTGGAGGGGGGAGCACTAAGGGGGAGGACAGAGGGGAAGCCGCTGCCCACTGTCCTCAGCCTCAGTCCCTCTGATAAAAGAAGGGGGTCCCAGCAGCGTGCAGGCACCTCATGGGGCCATTACTTCTCTTCTCTTGAAATCAGGAATCAGGTGTCAGAAGTGCCCTCGCATGCCCACTACCATGTCCCTAACTCCAGCTGTGGGTCAGAAAGAGGGACTAGGCCCCCAGGGGCCCAAGAAAAGTTTCGCTAGTTCCTCCAACTGTGGGATGGCCCAGGGCTAGGGCAGACGCAGCCCAGGGGAGGGCGAGCAGCCCCCAGGATGGGCCACCCCCACAGTAGACACAGGGAACACTCCCAGGGGCCCAGCCCCCTTTCCCCAGCCAAGCACTGGGCAAGTGCACTTTCACCAGCTGAGCATCAGTAGGACAGGCTGGCCACCACCAGACACCTCCACAGCCAGAGCCAAACCAGCACCCGGGATGAAAATAGCCGTCAGATGACCAGAGGGCTGGCTCACCACCGTCCAAGCAAGCTGCTCAAAGCAGCTGCAGCTAAAAATAGGCCAGAAGGGGACTGTCTTTGGAGAAGCACAGGGGAGAGCTCTGTCCTGCTTGTGGCCAACACGGGCAGGCACGATGTGGTCGCTACGCTTCATTTCTGCTGAGGCTCTGGTGTCCCACCCCAAGATAGTCCAGCAGAGTCTGGGCGGGGTGGCCCACAACATCTACCCATTGCTGTTCAAAGCCAGCTATCTGCTGGAGCAGCCAGAGGTGGTCCGTGCTCTGCTGGAACACTGGCCGCTGGAAGAGTTCCGGCTGGGTGCTCTGCTGGGGCCCAGCACAGAGCACCCCAGGGACCTGCGGGACCGGGCCTGCAGGGCCTGCCTGGAGGCCTGTGTGCGGGGCCTCGCGGACCACGTGCTCCAGGGCAAGGGCCGCAGGCGGCTGCGGCTGGCGGACCTCACTGGCATCCGAGACGTACAGGTGCAGCAGTGCCCCTGTGGGAGGGCGCTGGGCAGGTGGGGCCGCACGGAACTGCTGGCCAGGGTCTGCTGCGAGCTTCAGGCGGAGCACCATGCAGCCTGGAGCCCGGTTGAGGTCCTTGCTGACCTCTTTGTCACCGGGGGTAACTTTGAGATGGTGGTGCAGGCCCTGGGGCCCCCGGGCCATTCCCCACTGCGCGTGCGCTGCATCTCCTTCCGGGCGGACAGCCTGGGCCCCAGCCAGCTGCTGCAGGTGCTGTGTCTGGCTGGGCCTAGCGAGCTGCGCCGGCTTGAGGTGGTGCACAACGTGCGGCTGCACGCCGGCCACGTGCAGCAGCTGCTGGCCCAGGTGGGCTTCCCCCGGCTGGTCTCACTCACCCTGCCCGCCAAGGCCTTCGACGCACCCCCTGCCAGCACTCCAGCCCCAGACGGCAAGGATGCCCTGCTCACCTCCGTTGCCAGGGAGCTCAGCCGGATGACGCAGCTCACTGAGCTGAGCGTGGCCTTCTCCACACTGACCGGGAAAATCCAGAACCTGCTCGGGTGAGTCTGGGGTGGCCGGAAGGAGGGCGGCACAGGGGGCGGGTGACCAATGCACCTGCTCAAGCCCCTCAGCCCCAGACAGGGCGACATGGGACCCTCCCTAGAGCCCAGCTTAGGACACGCTGCAAGACTGCAAATCAGACTGGTTACTTACAAAGCCACAAGCCCCCAGCTTCTTGACTTTTGCCCGGCCCAGAGCAGCAGGAGGGGACAGACAGAGGAGGAGGCGGCCTGGCCGAGGCTGCTGTTGTGTGAAACCTGGGAGCATCAGGACTCAAGGAAGACTGTCTCCAGTTGTAAGAAAAAGGGACACGTCCTGATTAGCAAGCAAACAACATAGAAGTAGCTCCATGACCTGTGGTAAACAAATTCACCCAACGCTGGGGCTTATGACAAGACAGGAGCCTGGGGAGGGCAGCTAGGGTCTCCCCTGAAGGCTTGTTGGGGTGGAAAGGTGGGGCCATCTGCTTCCACGCTCAATCACATGGCTGTTGACAGCCTCGGCTCCTCAGCACATGAGCCGCTCCACAGGCCACCGGGAGTCCTCCAGATGGAGGCCAGCCTCCTGTAACCTTCCCTGGAGAGCACCGTGTGGTTGCTTCTGCACATTGTGTGGCGAGGGCCGGTCACCAGGTGAGGGGAGGGCACTACAGGAGGTTTGGAATGTCCGAGGGCCGCAGGGCCACCTTGGCAGCCACCAGCTATGAATATGCTTATAAAAATTTATGGAAAATTAAACTTCCCATTCCTTGAGCCAGTGAGTGTGAGGATGTCTTTTCAGGTTTAGGCTGTCTTTGACTTACAGGAATTTCTCTTTGACTCAGAGGAAGCCCGAGGTAGCTGGCCCCAGTTGGCCGGGCCCACATTTGCCTCCCCTCCCCTGGGGGACACCTGGGCTCTCCCCATTCCTGCTCCTCCACCCCAGCACCCAGTCTCCCACCTTGGGCGAGGTGGCCCTCGAGTCCACACACAAATACAGCTCTGCCACACGGTGACTCCCTGGGACCCTCAGGATGGTCCTGTGTTTGGCTGACCTGGGTCCTCAGCCAGAGGTGCCTGCGCTCTGGGGACATGTGTTCCACCAGCCAGATGACTCTTCACAGGCCTGCGGGGCTGTCTTGTTAGCTGGGCCCTGACATCACCCCACATACTCTGACCCTCTGCTCTGCACACCTGTGGGCTTCGGTCAGCTGGTTGCTGAGAGCCTGTCCACGGCCCCAGGACAGTCCAGGCGTGGAGTGTGTCAGGCCTAAGTGGCAGGGAGAGTAGTGGGTGGTCTGGGTCCCCAGGTGACCTTCGAGCAGAGGCCTGGCACAGTGGGCGGGCGGAGGGCTTGGAGAGGGCATGCTAGGCAGGAACCCCGCAGGTGAAGGGCCTGAGCTGGGGTGAGGCAGGACAGGGGTTGGTCCACAGGGAGAGGACTGGGATCAGGAGCCGCACGTGAGGGAGGGAGCAGGGAGGGGAGGAAAGGAGGGACAGAAGAGACAGGCCAAGCCCCGGAGGCTCTGAGCAGGATGATGTGCGATCAGCTTCATGTTACAAGCGTCACTCTGCTTCCTTGGCCCACACAACAGACAGATGAAGGGACAGGCAGACAGAGCAGGACCCCGAAGACCACCCAGGTTTGGTGCGTCCCAGTGAAGACTCTCTGCTGAGATTTATTATAGCAGAAGGACACAGGGCAGAATCCACCAAAGAAAAAGGCTTGTGGAATGGGGTCTGGAGGAGATGGGCAGGAGTCCAGAGTCTCGTCCCAGTGTAGCCAGCACCCACTGTGATGACATATGGGAGGTTTACATTAGAGACACAGGCCCAGGGGTTTTACCTTGAGTGGTTGGGTGGGCACCCCAGCCTGGCACACACCGAGATTCCAGACCCCAGAAGGAGAAAGGTGTCAGGCAGGGACCACGTTGTTTGTGCAAACAGCTCAGGCCAGGGACCCCTCATCAGTTGGGTGAGGGACCCTCCCTAAATCCAAGCTCCCAGATGCAGGTGGGCAGTCAGGCCTGCCCTTTGACCCTTTTCCACACCGGAGGCCCCCCCAAGGGTAGGGAGCAGTGCAGGTGGTGAGAGGGCTCCTTGTGGCTGGATGTGGAAACACTGCCCGCAGCTCAAAACCTGAGCAGCTGCCTCTGCAGAGCCAGGCCGTGGGGCGGGCACTCTGCACACAGAGTACAGGTGCAGGAGGCAGTGGGAACGGCATTCTCAGCAGGCGGACAGGACAGAGAGCGGGGCCCTATGTCCCCTGGCACTCAGCACTCAGCCAGCTGACCCCGACCCAGGCCCAGCATCCCAGAGGGCGGGTGTGGGTCTGTTCCTGACTTTGAGAACCGCAGGCAGGACAGTGACTCACCCACCCATGCGTTTCCTGACGCCAGCCACCTACACACCTGGTTCAGAGCGCCAGAGGGGCTTTCAGGTCCCAGGTGATGCTAAGGACGGACCGGATAGCTCCAAGGCGCACTCAGCCCTAAAACCGTGGGCTTTGTCTCTTCATTCAGAGCCAAGCCAGTGTTTCATTTCCTGCCAGTTCACAGCTATCTCACTGCCCCACAATAAGCTTGTGAACACACAACATGCCGACAAAACAGATTTATTACTTTAGTTGCTGAGGACAAGGGCCAGGCCTGTCTTCTCTGGGTAAAGTTAGCTCTTCCTGGACATGACCACACACTGTCTCCATGACCCAGCTCTGCCATCACCCCAAGGCAGCCAACTAGCAGTAGGTCAACGAAAGTTCCTGGCTGTGTTCCAACTACACTTTATTTATGGGCACTGGAACTTGAATTTCATATCACTGTCACACGTCACAAAATATTCTTCTTTTGACTTGTCCAACTATTAACACGCAAAAACCATTTCAGCTCTCTCACACTGAATGAAGTCAGGGGCCGGTAGGTTTGGCGCTCGGGACAGGACTGGCCTAAACAGCCCCAGAGCTCCTGCGGCGGGAGGGCCCCTCTCACCGGCGCTGCTTCCCGCCCTGCCCGCAGCCCCCTGAGGACCCCGCTGAGAGTGCTGGACCTGGCCAGCTGCTCCCTGAACCATGCGGACATGGCCTTCTTGGCAGACTGCACCCACGCGGCCCACCTGGAGGTGCTGGACCTCAGCGGCCACAGCCTGCTGGACCGGTTCCCCTCGTCCTTCTTCCGGCTGCTGGGCCACGCCGCCCCAACACTGAGGGCCCTCACCCTGGAGGAGTGCAGCATCACAGACCGCCATGTGAGCACGCTGATCCTGGCCCTGAGCCCCTGCCATCGGCTGCGTGAGCTCCGGTTCTTGGGGAACCCACTGTCGGCCCGTGCCCTCAAGCGCCTTTTTGCAGCTCTCTGTGAGCTCCCCGGGCTGCAGTGTGTGGAGTTTCCAGTTCCCAAGGACTGCTACCCCGAGGGCAGTGCCTACCCGCAAGACGAGCTGGCCATGACCAAATTTGACCAGCAGAAATACGACGTGATCGCCGAGGACCTGCGCGCGGTGCTGCTGCGGAACGGCCGGGGCGACATCCAGGTCTCCACGCCCCTCTTCGGAAGTTTCGACCCAGACATTCAAGAAACCAGCAATGAACTTGGAGCTTTCCTGCTGCAAGCTTTCAAAACTGCTCTGGAAAAGTTTTCCAGAGCACTGAAGCAAATGGAGTAGGCCCTGGATGGCCCAAGGCGGGGCTGCTACACGGCTGGTGCCCTGGGCTCGGCCAGACCACCAGCATCCCAAGCATCTCTTGTGAAAGCTGCGAGGCGTCCTTTAGGCAGTGTCCGAGCAGGAACCTGCTCTCCAGGAGCAGTGGCGGCGACTGTGGGGTGTCTGAGCGCAGTGCGGTCCTGGAGCGGGAAGCTCCGGGGGTGACCACCGCAGCGGTGACAGCAGAGGAGCACCCGACCCCGCGGGCGTGGCCAGCCCGGTCCCCATGTGCCTGGACTTCAGTCCGTGTGCGGTGTAGATGAGAGGATGACAGCAAGCAGCTGAGGAGAGTAAAAGCGAGCTGCAAGGTGGGTCCCTTGAGGCAGTGGCTGGCTCCAGGGGTGCAGGGAGCCCACAGGGCCGCCCCCAAACTCCAGTCCAGCGAGGACGTGGGCTTTGATCGTTTATGGCTCTGTCCCTGCTCTCTGCCGGTGGGCGGCAGGCCTGGGCTCTGCTGGTGCCAGGCGGAGCCCCCAGCACAGGGCAGCCTCTGACTCGCAGTCGGGACTGTGATGTCCCATCAGCTACTGCTCCCACTCCCACCTCCACAGACTCTAGGCCGGGGTGGGTGTGGGGCTCGGACTCCTCTGGGCAGTTGTCTGAGTCCTGGCGCTTGAGGAGTGGTTAATTCCAAAGTCTGGACTTGGTTTCTACCAAGATCTGATTTGTGTAAAGGGCTGAGTATTAGAATAATTAAATACTAATAAAACAGAAGTGTGGCTTGTTCAGATGTGGTTTGCTTTCTTTCTTTTTAAATCTAGTGCACGATAAAATGTCTTGTATTACTGTGTATTTCCCAGACGTTCATGAAGCCGGGCATGTCTCCATATGCTTGTTGCCTGTTTGTGGTTTTCTCATGATTTCATTTATTTAAACAAAAACAAAATCAGTTCACCCATTTCTGCCCCACACGGCCCCTCCACCTCTGGCGACCACCAGTCTGTTCTCTGTGTCCATGAGCGTGGAGACATATATCTATATCTCAGTCTATAAAATACATTCCACATAGAGTGAGATCATACGGTATTTGTCTTTCTTTGACTTACTTCACTTAGCACAATGCCCTCCAGGTTCATGTTGTCACAAATGGCAGAATTTCATTCTTTTTATGGCTGAATAATGTTCCATGGTGTTCCATATACCACACATTCATCCAGTCATCTGTTGATGAACACTTAGGTTGCCCTTGGCTATTGTAAATAATGCTGCAACAAACACGAGGGTGTAGATATCTTTCCGAATAGTGAATTTTTTTTTTTGGATAAACACTCAGAAGTAGAGTTGCTGAATCATATGGTAGTTCTAAGGTTAATTTCTTGAGGAGCCTCCGTCCTGTTCTCCATAGTGGCTTCACCAATTTACATTTTCACCAAGAGTGCACAAGGGCTCCCTTTTTCCCACACCCTTTCCAGCACTTGTTATTGCTTGTCATTTTGATCATGGCCATTCTGACAGGTGTGAAGTGATATCTCATTGTGGTTTTGATTTGCTTTTCTTTGGTGATGAGTGGTAATTGAGCATCTTTTCATGTCTCTTCAGATGTTCTGGCCATTTCTCAATTAAACTGTTAACTTTTTTCCAAATGAGCTGATAAATTATTTATATATTTTGGGCATTAGCCCTTTATCAGGTACATGATTTGCAAGTATTTTTTCGCATTCTGTAGTTTGCCCTTTTTTTGTTGATGGTTTTCTTTGCTGTGCAGAAGGTTTTTAGTTTGATATAGTCTCACTTGTTTATTTTTGCTTTTGTGTCTGTTGCTTTAGGTGTTAGATTAAAAAGATCATTTCCAAGACTGATGGCGGGGAGCTTACCAACTATGTTTTATGATTTCAGGTCTTATGGTCAAGTTTGAGTTAATTTTTCATGTGTGTTGGAAGACAGTGGTCCACTCTTGCTCGTGGCTGTCCAGTTTTTCTAGCACTATTTATTGAGGCAGCTGCCTTTTCCTCATTGTATATTCTTGCCATAAATTAACTGACTATATATGCATGGGTTTATATCTGAGCTCTTTATTCTGTTCCATTGATCTATGTGTTTTTATGCCAATACCATACTGTTTTAATGACTATTACTTTGTAGTATAGTTTGAAATAAGGGCATGTGATGCCTCCAGCTTTGTCCTTCTTTCTCAAGAGTGCTTTGACCATTTGGGGTCTTTTATGGTTCCACACAAATTTTAGGATTTTTTGTTCTATTTCTGTGAAATATGCCATTGGAATTTTGATAGGGATTGCATTGATTCTGTATATTGCTTTTGGTGGAATGGACATTTTAGCAATATTAATTCTTCCAATCCATGAGAATGAAATAGCTTCTTCAGTTTGTTTCATTAACATCTTGTCATTTTCAGCATACAGGTCTTCCACCTTCCTGGTTAAATTTATTCATATTTTTGATGCGATTATAAATGGGATTGTTTTCTTTATTTCTCTTTCTGATAGTGCATTTTTAGTGTATAAAATGCAACAGATTTTTGTGTATTGATTTTGTATCCTGCAGTTTTATTGAATTTGTTTATTAGTTCTAACAGCTTTTTGATGGTGTCCTTAGGGATTTCTATATATAATATCATGTCATCTGCAAATAGTGACAGTTTTACATCTTCCTTTCCAACTTGGACTCCTTTTATTTCTTTTTCTTGTGTGACTGCTGTGGCTAGGGGTTCCAGTGCTGTGTTGAATCAAAGTGGGGAGAGTGGATATCCTTGTTCTATTCCTGATTTTACAGGAAATGTTCTCCAGTTTTCACCACTGGGTATGATGTTAGCTCTGGGCTTGTCTTATAAGGCCTGTATTATATTGAGGTACATCCCTCCATACCCACTTTGTTGGAAGTTTTTACCATAAATGGATATTGAATTTTGTCAAATGCCTTTTGTCAGAGTTGGAAAGGAGAAACAGCTCAAAGGGCAGATTCAATTCTATTTTTGGAAAACCTGCAGAGGGGGTCTCCAGTTAGACTGGAGCCTGTGCTCTGTGTACAGGCTTGGGAAAGACCTAAGAGTATGAAAATAAAACATTTTATCAAGAGAGAGGCTAGTGTTTGATGTGTGTGTGGCCGAAAGCTCCTCACAACAGAGCCGAGTGCTCAGTGGGGGTCTGAGTCATCGTGTGAGTGGGCTCTGCCCTCTGGTCCGACTCCACGTGGCCCCTCCCCCAGATGTGTCCCCCTCCCTGTGCTCCTGCGCTGCCCCTCCCCCAGGTGGAGTGAGAGTCATCTCAGGGGTTTGCCTGCTAGGAAGGCAATAACCTTCCTCCTGGGTCTTCAGGAAAGAGCTGATGCCCCTGAGTGGGCAGGAGCAGGGAGGGATGTGGTAACTTCTCACTCCTTGGGCTCCTCAGCTCTGCTTTCTTAGCTAGCCTCTGCGCATCTCCTCAGATGTGTTGTGCTGGTAAAGTCTCATTGGAACCCAATTTCAGCCATATGGACTTTGCTACTGCAAGTTCTTGGAGAGTAGGCACGGGGGAAATTTTTTTGAAATGATTTGATTCTAACCCTAAAGAGCAGAGTAGCTTCTGCTGATTGTGCCCATAGAATTTTCTTGACAAGAGACCTGGCCTCTGGGTGGTCAGTGGGTAGAATCCAGCATGTGCATGGCTGAGCCAAGCAGCTGTAGTAGACAAGGGCCCAGAGATGCTGCGGTGGCCTAGGACCTGAAACTTGGGGCAGGAGTGGGCACACAGGTGGAGACTGCTCCTGACAGCCCCCGCCTCACCTGGAGGAGTAACCCATTCTTATGAAACTGAAGAGGCTGGGAGGCTCACCTAGAGCAATTCTGAGGCACACAGAGCAGCCCAGGGTAGACCCACACCTCCCACACATCCCAGGGCATGGATGCACTCATTCAGGGGACCTGCTCAGCCCCAATCCTGAATGTGCCACTTGCAGCCACGATGGGTTTTGCCTGCACCTGCCCAGCCCAAGACTGGTGGCCCTGAGCATGCAGGTGTGATACTGGCTGTGACGAGGGTGGGGGTATCTGCCAGGGCCCAGGAGCGCCCCTGTACTTCTTGTGCTGAAGAGGGCAGGGCTCACACACAAGGGCAAACTGAGTGGGACAGAAAATGCACTCAGCAGAGGGCCAAGGATCAAGCGGGTGTGAAAACGCCACAATGAAGCTGGACTGGGGCTCCTCCTGGTGGGCTTGTAGCAGGGGGCTGTTACCTGTCCAAACCCACCTGGTCTTCCGAGCGGCCAGATATTTGAATTGAACGGGGACATTATGGGATCACCATCCTGGGCACATAGGGACTACCAAGATGGGCACCCCTGTCCTGGGCATGTTGGGGCCCTCATCCTGGGCACATGCGAACCACCGTCCTGGGCATGGGGGGGACCCCCACCGTTGCCTCCTTCAGCCCCCTGCAGTGGACTCATCACTGCCCTTCCTCCAAGAATCAGCACTGCCTCCTGTTGACCACCCTGGCAAAGAGTGGCATAGATCTGATGGCTTCCTCTTGTCCTTCCCACCATAACAGTTCTTGCTCCAGACGGTTCTCTTCAATTACATACTTGGAGCTTAGGAGACACCTGCAGACCCAGTGGACTCTGTGCAGTGGCCGTGGCCAAAGACCTGGGGACTTCAGTCTGCAGCCCCCTCGTCAGCTGCCACCCACCAGATCCCAGGAATCCTCCTCTCCACCAGCCGCTGGCAGGCCCCATGGAAAAGTGTACTGTGGTCTTGACACCCATCATGGGGTTCGCCTACCTGCCTCCACCAACCCAGGACCCAATTCCATGGTGTCACCTGCGATAGTCAGCCCTGGCCTGCAGGCAGCAGCCACCACTGAGCCACCCCACTGGAGCTACAGCCCTCATGAGAGGGGCCGGAACTCCCTGTCCTCCCATGGTTAACACCCCCGCCTCCACTGGTCATGAGCCCCGAAGGCGCCAGCAGGTCCAGGAGGGAGGTTAAATACAGGGTTGCACATTGACTACCCACAGTGGCACATCCCCCTCCGCCTGGACCCCAAAGCCTGCACTTCCTCCAGGAGCAGAGGCCTGACTTCAACAAGCAGCAGGCGATGAGGGACTGAGCATGGCCTAAGGCAGGCAAGGGCTGACCACCACCGTCCCACTCGGGGCTCTGCCTCTAGAGGCATGGCTTTGGCCTAGGAGCCCTCAGGGATGTGGTTCAGGCCCCCTTGCAACCCTACCATCCTGACATAATCCCTGACTTGCCAGAGGGCCTGCAGGTGAGCTTCCTCCCCCAGGGCTGCCCACGTTGGTGCCCCGCTTTCTTCTCTCAGCCCCAACTCTCGCTCGCTTGCCACAACAACGCGCAGCCCACTGTTTCCTGGATTTGGCCACTCGTGGGAGGACAGGTGGCTGCTCTTATTGCGGGTTCTGAGCAGAGAAAGCGGGTTTGCAGGGAGAGATTAAACACACACAGAGATCTCAGGCCAGAGTCATCACTCCAAGGCTCTTGATGTTTAAGAGTCGTTTCTGGTTCTTCTCTGATGCTTGGCCGACTCTCCATTCTTGCCCTGAGGTTTCATCAGGCAGCCTTAAAACAAGCCCCTTTAACTGGCCAGGCTGGCCTGAACTGATCTCTGTTGCTTGTTGCCAGAGTCCTAATGCAGAAAAACAGAGAGCTATTTCTGTCAAACCGCAGGTGGAAGGCAGAGAAGGGCACTTCTGGCATCGTCCCACATAACCCGCTTAGTTACTCAAAAAGGATCTGGTCTCACGTGGGTCAGAGAGACCTGAGGCCAAGCTGCCTGGGTTCCTTCTGGCTCCAGTACCACAAGTGTGACCGCGCCTCAGTTCCAGGTCCCTCACCCGCCAAACGGGGTGGTACAGAGCCCTACAGCAGTCCAAGACCGCGGCCCTCTGCTGGCACCTGCACTCCGATAGGAGGGCTCCCTCCACCCATACCCTGCCTACAGCTTGGACACAGAACCTGCTTTCTTTGGGGGGTTTGGAACTGGGTCTGTGCCAGGCAGAGGGTGCCATGCAACCCACCCTCCGAGGAAACCCAGGACACTGTCTGAGGAGCCTCCGCGTGGCCGTGACCATGCGCAGGACTCAGAGCTGTGCCTGTCCCTCTGCTGACCTGGCCTTGCACCCTTCCTGCATGAGTCTCAGCTGTGCGTGCGATCACGTGCCGAGTCCTCAGCACCCTCAGCGGGTCGCTAAGCCTGGTGAGGTCGCAAGGACTCCACCCCATGGGTAGCGACAGTCCTTCCGCATAGGACCCGGGGCAGGATGACACGGGGGATGTGCCTAAAGCATGCAGAAGCCAGTTCGTATTAGCTTTGTGGAAAATGGGCCTAAGTTTGCAGTAAAACTTGAGATAACTCCTATAAAAAACCTGCTTTGTAAAGAGGAAGGAATCACACTCATAAAAAGTGGCATACTTGCTTTTCAATTGCAGGTGTTTTAATTATACATCACGGCTAATAAATTTTTCCTAAAGCTGAAATAGGAGGTTATACTGTTCTGCCTAATAAAACATGGACAGCGTAAAAAGTGCTTCTGAGAATCTGCGTCCTTAGCTGCGGAAGGGGATGGAGCGGGAGCCCCGTCTCCCAAGGCCTGAGGTCCTGCTCGGGGGAGAGGGGCGGAAGAAGTGGCTGTGAGTGCGCAGGCGCAGCCAGGGCGGCACCGGCAGAGGATCAGTCCCAGGGACTGACCCAGCCAGAGGCCCGCCCACCCTCGAGTCACTTCACTCTGGCCTCCTCTTCCAGGATGGCCTTCTCCGCGCTCCTGAACTTCTTCAGCTCCACGACCAGTTCCCAGTACTTGAGATACAGCCACATAAGCCTCCCATTCTGGCGCCTGTCGGTGTTCCAGACGTCACCACAGTACGTGTCATGCTTGAATATGTCAACCAGGCCAGCCGCCACCCCCAGGTCCACAGCTACTGGGTCCGTGGACGCTCGGACCAGCCAGCTCTTCTCTAGCTCCAGCCGGCGGCGGCGTGGGAGCAGGAGGCTGCAGTAAATGCCCTGCCTCTCAGTGAGGGCACCTTCCAGCTCCCGCAGCAGGAGCCGGGCCCTCCGCTGCCAGTCCTCCTCCCTGTCCAGGCAGCTCAGGTAGGCCCTCCGCAGGGGCTGTGCATTCTCCCGCAGGACCCGCGCCCGTTCCTGCTCCAGAAGCTTCCTTTCCTCCACCATCCTGCGCCCCTGAGAGATGAGGGCTTCTCGGTAACTAGTCGTCCTGTTCTGCTCCTTTTCAAGCTCCAGGGACAACTGGGCCACAGCACGCCGACTCTCTGAGATTGTGGCCTGGTACTTGGCTTCGAGGTCCTGCTGGAAGGCAGCTGTTCTCTGACGACACGCTTCCCTCTCAGCTTCTATTTCTTTCTGGGACTCCCTAGACCAAATCCAACCTGCACAAATGAGTTGGGGGAGGAAAACACATGTAATGAAAAATCAGAGCACAAGTTCTATAATCTTTAAAGAAAACATAAAGCTGCTAAGAACAGCATTTCAATAAAATCTTAAGTCTTGAGAGGTACGAATAAGATAGCATTTTGTATGAAACTACATAATACACAAAGTTCTTAACTTAAAAATCAGATAAGGGCTCCCAAAGATAAGCACGGGACGGCTGCAGAGAATCTGCCTTTCAGCCTCCGAGTTTTTGAGGCTGAGAAAATCTACCACTGCTTTCTTTTGCTCCCAAGCCCATCACCGTTTGTCTGCTCTGGGCACAGAGCCCTCACGTACCACTGGCAAGGTTTAAGAATGAACGTGGGTGAGTATGCTTCAAACACTCTCAGTCAGGTTATTGCAGAACTAAGTTCCAAACGTGTTCAGCTTTGCCTGCTCATCAGAAGTAAACAGCTGAAGCCCAAGATGTTTGCTTATGTTCCAACAGGGGCCACATAAATAAGGAGCTAGGAGTTCAGCCTCAAGACAAGATGAGGCCCCACCATAACCTCACAAACACGGGACAGAAGAGTGCGGAGAGCTGGGGTGGGTAACACCCAGCTTTGCCTCACAAAGTGAGGAGTCACCAGGCACCTGCAGCGTGGAGAAAGCCAAGGTCAGAGAACGGGAGTCTGACGACCACAAAGCCTGGGGCCAGCAGGTGTCTGGCCCTGGGTGTTGTTGCCAACTTGTCCCCATCCCACCAACAATAAGAGGAAGATGGTGTGACGCCTCCACTGGTATAGGATACACTCCTGCCCAGTAATTTCATCAATGTGGGGGCAGCCACGCTGGGTCCTAGCCTTTCACAGTGACAACTCGTCCGGCCAGTATTTGTGAGTAGCAGCAGGGATCTGAGCCCCTTGGAAAACAGCAGGATTGCTCAGTAAACCTTCAAAGGCACCAAGAGGACCACTTAAAGCATCATTTTACACCCAGCCCTCCAAATGCAGCCAGGGGGCTCACACATTTCTCTCCCACTTCCTCTGCCTCCCTGGTGTCCACCCCCCAGTGGAAACTGCTGGAGTGTCCATCAACCGTCGGTTCTCTTTCTGCTCTTGATGGTCCCTCCCCATCAACACCAAGGCGGTGTCCTTGCTGTGCGGCCTGTCCCCTGGTCCCGATGTCACTGTCACCCATGAGGACAGCACTTCCAGGCGCCTAAGAGCCGCCTTCATTCTACAACCATGAGACCAAGTGCACCCTTCCTCACTTAAACAGCCTCCAGTCCCTAAAGCTGAGGGGTGGGGCAGGACAGAGCTAGCCCTGCTGTACCAACCCAATCCGAGTCCAATGCCTCACACATGGAGCCAGCGGAGGCTGATTAATAACATGGCACACACCTGACATCGGAGCACAGAACATAGCTCATCAGGAGGGCCTCCAGGAAGAGGAGGTGACTGGGCAGCTATGGAGACCAAAGTGCAGGATGGAACGGTAGGTGGACACCCCAGTTCTGGTCTGGGAGTCCTGCCTCATGACTCTGCAGACACAACTTGGTGGAGCCTCAGTTTCAGAAGGCACATGAAAGAGCTGTGAGTCCTGCTTTTGGGAAAATGGAACACAAGCACTCTCTCCTATTCTTCTTGCTAAGAACAACAAAGCACCTGGACGCTGTACGTAGAACTAACACAAGACGCCCATGGAGGGCGGACAGGAGCAGGCAGGCTGGCGAGGGATCTTGGCACCCAAGGACACCGTGGCAGTGGGTCCCCTGGGGCTTCATTTTGCCTTGTGGTCCCAGATTTGAAGCTGAAATGCCACAGCTAACATTTACTTAATGGTGAAAAGACCGACTGCTTTCCTCCAAGATCAGGAACTATTCAGCAATCCTGGAGGTTCCAGACAATGCAAGAAAGGGTTAGAAAGGAAGAGAGAAAACCTGTCTCGCACCTCACAGAAAAATTACCTCCAAATGGATCATGCACTCCATGTAAAACGCAGAGCTAACACTGCAGGGAAGACACAAGAGAGAACCTTCTGGACTCAGGGCCAGGCTACGCGTCCCCACACTCGGATTTGAAAGCATGAGCCATCAAAGGAAATACTGATAAGCTGGACTTTATCAAAGCGAAAACTTCTGCTCCATGGAAAACTCTGTTAAGAGGCTACAGGCTGGGAGAAGATACCTGAAAACCAGACAGCCAACAAAGTACTAGAAGCTAGAACACAGTAAAAACTGTCCAAACTCAACATGAAAAAAAAATCTGATCAGAAAACAGCCAAAAGACAGGAACAGACACTTCAAGGAAGCAGGTAAACCAACGCAAGTAAGTGTGAAAAGATGTCCAGAATCATCAGTCGTCAGGGAAATGAGGTCAAAACCACAGGGGGTGTCACTGCACGCCCGCAAGAACAGGCAAGGGCAGTGGTGACCACACCAGAAGAGGGGGGAACCCAAGAGACCGGACGAGAGAGCAAAATGGTTCAGCCACTCTGGGGAACATCTGGCACTTTCTCAAAAAACTGAACATCGACTCCCAAGGAGGCTGATGAACAGGCGGGTTCTGTGATTCAGGGATCTGCAGCCCAACTCCAGCCCTAAGGGCGCTGCTGTTCACAAACTAGCCTGCCAGCTTGCAAAACCCTACCTAACACCCAGAGAGGCTGCCTGTGGCTAGGGCGATGAACTGCTGAGTGACACCACTTACTCAGGTAATAATTAGCTAGCTTTGAGGCTGGGAAAGGCCCAAGGGGACTTGTTTTTCCGACTCTCTGGCTTTTACAGCTTGTCTGGTGTGAATAGGACGCTGTGGTTATCAAGCCTTCCTGGGAGCCCTGAAGAATAGACACCAAGCGGGAAAGGGGGAGGCTGCCTGCTGCCAAGCCCTCGGCCACAGCCACGTCCCCAGTAGTGGCGCCTGAGGGGACTCAGGGTAGGGAAGAACAGGACACTGGCCCTGGGCAGCTCAGGTGCACATCACAGGAGTGATTTCAATGAGCCCAGACGCCTGCGTCTTTCCGTGCGTGGAAGAGTGCTACGTATTGTACACATTGTATTAATGTATTAACACACTGATCGCCATATCACCCAAATCTGGGTGACAGCTGTGCTTCCTCAGGCACACCAGATCCACAGCATTAACTTAAGATGCCTGGTTTTCTTTAATTACCAGTAATCTTTAATGTTCCAACCACCTGGTCTTTGTTGACTGTTGAGCAAACTCCTACACATCCTGGCTCCTCCCCTCCCTCTTGGGAGTGGTCCCTCAGAGCATCTGAGAGGCTGCCTCCTCGGGCCTGAAGTCCTCAGAAAGTCTGCCCAATGAAACCACCCTCAACTTTCAGGCTGTGCATTTCTTTTCAGGCGATGATGGTAATCAGCACATTTGAGGTTCCGGCCTGCTTGTCGTTTTGAAATGATACTTTCTGTCCCTCAGAAGGGTTGAGGAATGTTGTACTTTTTCGTCTCGGTTATCTTGCTCAGGGTAATGTGATCAGAGAAAACTTCTAAACTTTGCATTCTTGTATGGATTCTCCAAAAATGTGTTATTACAAGGTTAAGAAATTATATGGAAGACATGAGGGTTAAGCAGCCCCCAGCACAGTCTGAAAGTCACAGCAGACAAATGGAGTGATAAATGCTACTCTCATCAGCCTCCACTTTCTCGGCTCCAACCTGTGGGAGCCACTCCACGCGCCACACAACAGAGGGGAGCTCTTGCTGGTCTTCCTCCCAAGTTTTCAGTTTCTCATACTCTTAAGTGCCAACCCAGAACCATGGGAGGTGATACGGGGTAGCAGAATATGCCACCCTCACTACATCTCTTTGGCATAAGGGTTACTTAAGACTGGTTATTTTCTAAGAAACAGCAGTCATGGGAGAAACTTGGAAAACCAAGCAGGCATTATCCTTTCGTAAGGAACACTTAAAGTTACAAGGGAGACCTCCATTTGTAAGGGTGTCTCCCTGGCTGAAGCAGGAAGAGGCTGACCAAATCTCTGGAAACTCTTACCAAAGGAGAAGGCTGCATAACCACCCCACCCTTGAATACTGCACTTTTTCTGGTCATCTCTGGTAACTAACTCTCCACCCCGAAACCCTCTTTTATCTTCAGTGGGGGATGGTATGCAGGGTGAGGGCTTACGCCCTTCTGGTGAGTTACTCAGTTTTCCTGGGTCTCTCCTACGTATACATGTTAACAACTTCTGTTTGATTTTCTCCTGTTAGTCTGTCTCATGTCAGTTTAATTCTTGCACCAGCCAGAAGAACTCAGAAGTGTAGAAAAAAATTTCTTTCTCCCTGACAGTAACAAAATATAAAACTAACTCCTGCACATCAGGATATTTATCGGGTGGCAGGGACATAAACTAAGAACTGGAATAATTACGACTGACTGGCGACTGGTAATTTCCCCAGAGTAGACAAAGTCAGTTCAAAGCAGAGTTTCTGGCCTGAGCAGAAGTTTCACAGAGGAAGCCTCCCGAAGACCAATTTCCTAAATATCACACAGACATCCAAAACAGCTTTTCTTTTCTGCCTGTTTTATTCTTCCTCATAGGTCCTCTTAGGGCAGCTGAAGCAAGGGAGCCCCTTCAAAGCAAAGACGCTGTAAAAGGGTGCAAGCAGTTACTCAACTCACTCCACATGAAATGCCTCCAAATGTCCTGTCTTATTTACCCCTCATAGTGCATGCAGATGACTGACAGTCAGAGTGGCCAAGGCTCAGAGGGCTAAGTACTATGCTAAGACACACATCTGTGATAAAACAAGGCTGTGCGCATGCATCTGTGTCAACAAAGACTGCTGTCCAAAACTCCAGTCACAGAAGGGTCAAGCCATCAGCTGCAGCAGCCGCTGACCTATAAGTTCAGCCTGAAAGGCATTTGGGACGAAGGCGTTCTGTGTTCTGGATGTATAGGACCCTGCACAGTTAAGACGCACAACTAAGGAAGAATCTCAGTGACCTTCCCTTCAGAGGTAAGCACTAAAATCATTAACTTGCGATACCTGGATTGTTTTGTGACAACTGGTAATCTTTTACCAAGAGGTACGCTTCCCAGCTGAAACATTCACCTGTATCCCAGCTCCTCCCCGGCATCTTCAGAGAGGTTCCTAAGAACTGTCTGAGAGGCTCCCTCCTGGGCTACACTCCTCAGTAAGACCCTGAATAAAACTCAACTTGCAGCTCTCACTTTGGGCATTCCCCTCACGACCCCAAGTCAACAGCTGTCAGGTTCCAAAGCCCAAGATGTTTCGGCTCCACACTTTCAGCCCAGAAAAGTGAAATGTCAGGAAAACCATGACTTACGAAAAGCAGCCAGCCCCAGCATTGGCACCAACAGGGCATAATTCCATCTGCTTCCATCACCACCATCAGCCCTGGAATTAGGCCGGATATTCCAATTTGGAGGGTTATTTAAGTTATTCATGGAGATACACCTTGAAGTAAATAGTAACATCATTAACCATACAAAATGAGTAAAATAACACTGGTCACAATTATGACATCTACATGGCTCATGAGTCCTTTTTCCCTTCCAAAATTTTTAGATCTAGGTATGTGCTGCACAGCACTGAGCCCTATGGGATTAAAAGGAGGAAAAAAACAAGATTTCAGGCAAAAGCCGCTCACAAACCGTGGTGGAGAGAGATGTGTCTCAAATAGCTGAAATACAAATAGAACAAGGCGAATATATGTAAAAGGAACCCAATTCAGCTTTTGAAAACTCTTAATGGGCTTTCCAATAAATACCTGTTAAACACCTAAAGACATAAAATTCTAAATGGCAATAAAGAAACGACCACAAAAAAAAGTTTCAGGACTTACTGTTAAGGAGCTTGTGGCGAGCACGGAATAAAAAACTCAGAGGATGAAAAGCACTAAAGCGTGGAACCCTAAGAGGGTAGGTCTGGGAGCAGCTTTCCTTCCCCTCGAACCCCATAAACTACAGGGTCCGCCCCCCCGACCCCGCAACCTACGGGGTCCTCCTCCGGAGACGCACAGTCCTAGAGCAGCGGAACCCGGCACGCACCGGGCGCCGCGCAGTTAACCCCCGAACGTCGGCCCCGGGGGCAGCCCGTCCAGACCTGCTCGGCACAGTAACTCCCGCTCCGTCCCGGAGAAAAAAGCGGGCGGAGACCACGTACCGGCGAGCACTGGTTCATTTCAAAAACTCCAGTAAACTCAACAAAAACCAAACACCGTGTGGACAGGAGGAGAAACCAGACGAGTCCGTGAAGACGCCTGACCCCCGATTCGGCCCGGCCCGCGGGCCCAGACCCCCGGGACGCCGACCTACCCCGAGCGGGGAGCTCCGGCCCTTGTCCCGGGCGCCGCCGTCTGCGGGTCGTCTCTGCGCAGGCGCGGCGTCGCCCGTTGACCCCGGGCGCGGTGACGTTAAGAACCCGGCGCTGCGATGTGCGCAGGCGCGCCGCTCCTCCCCCCTGCCCCGCGGCCAACCCCGCGTCGCGGCGACGTGCGCAGGCGCGGTCTGCGCGGGGCTGGCGGACAGCTGCGGAGAGCGGACATGTCGGGCGTACGCGCGGTGTCGCGGCTGTTGCGCGCCCAGCGCTTGGCGCTGAGCTCCGGGGTGAGTCGGCGCCGTGCGTGGGTGGGTGGGCGGGCGGGGCGGACGCCGGGTCCCGCGCCCCAGCCCG